TTGTTCGTCAGTTGCTTGGCGTTAAAGTCAATTTTTTAATTAGATCCTAAATTGAAGGAATTCTCACTTGACCCATTCGAGTCTTCAAATCTGAGACCAACTTTCACCATAATTGGTACTGATAGAAGAGGTGATGTGAGACTGCTATTACTTGCTAATAGGCATTTATATTTTAAAATCTCAAGCATGGAACAGGTCTGGTTGTTCACTGCGTGGTCAGGTTTTCGTCGGTTTTGAATGTCGTTGCTTTTTTTTTTTTGTTCTGGGCTATCAAACTGCATTTTAATTATTTAATCTGTGTCCTTGCGCACTGATCTGTACTAGCTTCTATATACTGATCCTACTGTCATTAAGTTTTGGTTGTTGGGCTTATGATGTGCAACTTGATTGTGGCTACTTTATGCAGCACAAGTCTTGGAGGCAGAAAGATAGTTGTACTTTAGTTTTCAGGGATTTGTACTGCACTGTTTATTTACTGAGTCACTTTACCGAATGTTTTAATAGTTCAAGAGGTAAATTATGAATTTTAGGCGTAGAGATCATCGCCTCATTTTGGATAAGACTGGATAACAAATCTTTTTGATACTAAATACTGTTTTTGTAGCGACTAAATTTTTTGACCAATAAGACATCTAATATTTTTTGAAGGTTTTAGAGTAAAAAAATAAACTGACATCCCGTCGTCTAATATTTTTCTTTACCTATCAGTAATGCAGTTATTTACAACTGGAAGTATTATGGGGAGTGGGATCCTTTAAGACTTTTGCTGTCAGTTGCAAATTCATCACAAAGGATCTTACTCTACACCTAGAAGGAACTGGTGATAGTTATCGTAATTTTTCGATCTACAGAATTTGAAAAATTTGGTCTCTGCATTAGAAAATTAAATTAACATAAATGGCCGCTCAAAATGTTCTCTTCGCCCTTAATTTCCATGTTGACCATCTCAACTGAATCTTCCTCATTGTCTGAAGAATGATTAAGATTTTTTGTTGCGCTTCTTATTTCAAGTATCTGGACAAATCAGTTTTTTTTTTTCCTATAAAAAAAAACAAAAACTGATCGGACAGTCGCAGAATTAATGAAAAATGAATTTAATGAAAAACCTTGGAAAAACGTCATATTTCGAATGATATCTTTGAGCATACGTCTTTAAATGTATACTTTGCATCCATTTCTATAAAAGAAGTAGTTTTTTTCTCACAAAACTTGCTAGCAACCACTGTTACCTACACTCGTTACCGCTAGATCCTGAGCACAGCTTTTTTTCTACCACATTCTCTTCTTCCATTGAAAGTCGATAAGACGAGAAATAAATATAATAAATTTTTGCAATGAATATACCATCGAGAAGCCAACCACTATGAGCTTTTAATATAAGACAACTGAACAACTCGATTACTCAGTTTCCTGTATGATTTCTCAAGAAAGCATTTTATTTAAAGTTGAATAGCCACTATCGTTTCAATAAATAATTAACTTCAACAAAATTAGCCAGATAACAGTATAGTAACTGACATATATGTCCAAATTAAAAGTATAAAACAAACCCAGCTATCTTCGAATAACTTTTAAAGAAACAAAAAAAGAGATAAAGTTTCAACTTAATGCTCAAATCAAAAACTTCACTGGAAAATACAAAACAGCAAAAAGTAAAAAAAATGAACAAAAATAAAATAAATAAAGTAGAAAAAAAATAAAATAAACGATTAAATAAGTAGATAAATTAAACGTTCCGTTCCACGCTTTTTCTGCAGATTTAACAACTTCTAATCTGTTATACCCGCAGTACCCTCGACAATTTTTTTGTTCAATTTATTCATGAAACTTCCTATGAATTTTAAAAAAAAGGAGAAGATATAAGACGATTATTTTGCAGAACGAGTACACAGTATTTTGGTCTCGAGACATGTAGGCCTTACGCGTTGGGTAGACAAATCAGTTGCTGGAATTAGTATAAAAGACCAGATATTACCAAAATTTTATTGTAAAAAGCACATTTTCTGGTGCCGAAGATACAAAATCAAAATTAGTTTTTAGACCACCAAATATGTCTTACCTGAGTGAACTCAACAAAAACAGTAATTTCTTCATCAATGAGCAGCTATCTGAGACAGTGATAAACAGTTTCTGTCAGAAATGATCAAAAAACAGTTTCAGTGCAAGAACGTAAGCTTCTGAGATTCCTTCTTTTTAATAACGGGTAAGCTTCGTGCGGCTGAAATAATGTATTACGCCGTAGTTATCCTTCTAGAAGTAATAGTCGGTAATCTTTCAGATAATTACAAGTTAAACAAGTTTTTGGAACCGGCGTTATCAATGTAATCAGGCTACAATTGCATTTTTTCCGCCTTAATTCCTTTTTCTCCAGTTTAACTCTTTCTTCCCCTTAGTTTATTTCAGAAGTGCTGTCAGACAACTGTCCGGTCGGGTGGATATCAAAAAGTTCTTTTTGCATCCTTCACGTTAGTTTCCTTTGACTTACTAGTTTTCAGTTTTGCCGCCAAGTATACTCCACATTAATGCTCCAGAAAGAACACTTCCATTTGTGCAGTAGAAGCCCACGTAAAACGTGACGCTTCGCTAGTCAGATTTGAACTGTTTATAATTAGGTTTTTTTTACTTGTTGTTTATGCTGTATTTAACAAGCCCCAAAGGTTAATAAAGCAGTGCATGAAGAGGCATAGCTAAATCAAAAAATCTGCAAGCGCAGAACGGCGTTACGCTGTACAGTAACCAAAAATGAGCTGCAAAAAAAAGTTTATATAATTAAAACTCCCAGCATGATGCTAGCTTCTTTAGAAATAAAGAGGTAGTGAATGAGCAAAACTGAGACTGGAACAGGTAAGTAGAGTGAAATTACAAATTTTCATATTAAAAATTGAAATTGAAAAAAAAAAAAACTTTTAAAGAATAAAAAGTGTGTGGACTATGATACTGCAGCTGACTACTGCGAAGATCATTGCGGTAAACTACCATCTATACTCAGCAAATACGAGAGTAAGTCATTTTGACGTGTCTTTTCAACAGTAATCTACTGTAGTAGCCACAAATTCATTTTTTTATAGTCTACTGGAACTGGCTTAGAAAACATTTAGTTTTCGCAATACTTTTTTGAATTGTGTAAATATATCTGGAGTAGCGTTTAGTATTTGACAATTTTTCCTGTGACTTGATCAATATTTTTTGAAGAGTAAATTCTCTTGCAGGTGAAATATTAACCAGCGTTTCAAATCGTGGCTTCTGGAGCGGCCATGAAAAAATTAACGGAAGTTGGAGATGGTTAGATGGAAGTAAATCTGACTTAACACTTT